TAAACAGTCATTAAGAATTGGCAGGTACAATGACTTAAAGATCAAACTGAAATTACAGTCAACCTACAAAATCAGTGACTACTAGCACTTTGTTAAGTATTGTAATATGGGTCGCAAGATAACGTAGACATTTAAAAAATATTTTTTTATACCCAAACCGCTCATTAAATCAAAATTCTATAAGAGGTCCAAAAACTTCCAAATGGTATCACCTATCAAATAAAAAATAGTTGTCGTTATTGTCCGAAAAAGGAAAAAGTTATGAATGATTATTATCACCGTACACCAATTTTTTTTTTTTTTCAAAAACACTAACACCAACATTTTTAGATTGAAAGCAAAAGTCCACACCCCAAAAATAATTAAAATCGATTAATACATATTCGAGTTATATACAAAATTCAAAAAAATTTCACGAATTTGAGGCCTAAATCTGACGTTATTCTGAGACACCCTGTATTTGTTTCTTACTTTTCTTTTTGTATGTATAAATAGACCACCCTGACTGATCAGGTAGATTTTTAGGAATGACATATTGAACTTTCAAAAATATTGATCTGGAAAATATATAAAGCGATTCATTTTAATAATGTGAAAAAATCTTCGAGTGAAATACTGGTCACTAAGCCTTTGTTTAATTTTGACAAATTGAAATTTCAGATTTATATACGAGGTTCTTTAGTTGTATCACTTTTGAAAATTTTTAAATTTGATTTTGGTGTAGAATAAATGCACAAAATTTTAATTTAATTTAATATTGTGTAATTTTTTCAGCGATAACGTAACTAAGTACATATTTATTTTATGAAAATTGTTTGGAATGTGTGACAGTTCAAAGCACACGTGTTAAATTTCTCAAAAACTGCTGTATTTATCAAAATTAAACAAGAACAAAAAATGTAGATGAAATAGTGATAGTCACCACACAAAACTTCTCCTTAAGCAACATTAAATATAAATGTAAATAAAACTGTAAATTAGTGTCCTGTTGTCCTAATTTAAATATGAATAAGATATCTTTAAAACACTTTTACAGTCCGGTCAAAATAGACATTTCAAATAACGAAAATTCCGACAGAGCTAAATTTTGGTGAAGACCTTGGGTACACCATTAGAAATAAAGTGTCAAAAGTCCCCATCGATCCCATGTTTGCTAAAAAAGTTATTCGGGGTCAAAGGTCAAAATGTGAGGTTTTTTCGAATTTTTTCGAAAGCGGTAAGTTTTATCAAAAAAGTAGCCCAGACAAAAATTATAGATCTTAAAATTATCTACAAAAATGGTCCTTATACTTTTATATCTAAGAATCACCATTCCTGAGATATCGCGATTCCAGTACTTGAAGGAGTCACGTTCTACATGGTATGCAGACATTTCCACACCACCTGTGAGATAGTGTTCTTTGGCGCGTTTTTTTTTAACGTGGTTTTCTCGGTAGGCCTACTCCACGAACTGTTATGACGGAATTTTCAGGGACACTACTCTTTTAACTGTATGATGATTATTGATATTGATATTGGTTATTGACTTTAACTGTAGTTCTGATTTCTTTTGATATTTTAATCTGATTCATACTCTTCAAAGTCGACTTCAACAGCCATGTCCTCTTTGATTTCTCCTTCTTCCTCTTCTTCTTGCTGGATGTTCATAAATTGTTCAAATGAAGATGAATCAGCTGTCTCTTCATCAAAATCACATGAATCTTCGCCTGTGGTATTCAATTGGACATTTGAGCAAGACTGGCTTTGGCAATTAGTACACGCTGGAGGACACAGTAGCCCTACTCTTCTACAGCCACATTTAGCACTACAACCTTTTTTGCAATTGCAAAAAATAGTGTTTAGGAATTTTTTTGGAGCAGGTGGGAGTAAAGTTTGAATCGGTTCCAAAGTATTATCGGTTAATTTCTAACCCCAGTCTTCTGGGTTCAGATGATGCCTAGCCATGTCTGAACTTGATATTATACTCGATACAAGTGTTGATTAGCAGAAGCCGATGTTGGAGGAAGACAAGATAGTTGTACTTGTTTCTTGTTTCGTGTATTTTTTACAATAAATTTTTTTGGAGCTCCATAAACAGCAAGGAGAAAGCGAATTTCTTTTGTGATTATTGTTTGAGGTGAAGAATCAATGTCTGTAAATACTTTAGCGCAGTCAATCAAATCTTTTTTTTTTCAAATAGTTTTAATACCGATGTTTTACCCCTTCTGAACATTGCTGATGAAGTATCGCAGCCGGTTATCACATGTAAAAATAAGATACGGTTTTGGCATTTTGGATAAGCAGATAAACTTTTTGAAGAATATATTTCTGTTCGCTGTTGAGCCTTTCCAGGTTTTAAAAAGTATATAATTTTATCAATTGGAGTGCTTGCAGTGAGTAGTATTAATAAGTCAACATCTTCACCAACTACAATAGTTGTATTTGTTGCATTAAATTGTTCTATTGCTGTTTCAATTATAAGGACATCTGCGTCATTTTGGCTCAGGGACTGAGTTTCTTTTGAGTGTATATTCTCAGAATAGTATAGTTTATACATACAAGAGACACATATAGGCATTTTTACTTGTATTAAGTGCCTGACTATGTATATACATGGCATATATGTGCATATCATGTAGAACGTGACTCCTTCAACTTTTATAATCGCGATATCTCAGGAATGTTGATTCTTAGAAAAAAGTATAAGAACCATTTTTGTAGATAATTTTAAGATTTACTTTTTTGATAAAACTTACCGTTTTCGAAAAATATCCAAAATACCTCAAATTTTAACCTTTGACCCCGAATAACTTTTTTAGCACACATGGGATCGATGGGGACTTTTGACACTTTATTTCTAATGGTGTACCCAAGGTCTCCACCAAAATTTAGCACTGTCGGAATTTCCGTTACTTGACCACTATTTTTATAACTAATTTGACCGAACTATTATATCACAAAAATTTGTCTACTAAGGGTGTGCCTCCCTTAGTGCGTTAGTAAAGGGATATTCCTTAGATAAAGTATACTACGAGTACTTACACATCATATTTAAAAACAGTGAATTGAAGTTTTACTTCTAATCGTTAAGCTGACCAATTTACATGGGCAATGTCATTACAGTATAGATTATTTTATGTTCAGGGTTGAATGCCAAGGACTAGAGAAAACACTTCACATCGTAATATGTAATATATTCAATATTTTTTATCCGCCACGACCGTAATTTAGTAACTATTAAATCTAATTTGTAATGTGTGAAATTAAAAATTCTAATAATATATGTAATATATGTTTAGAAACATACAATTTTACTATGTCTTTATATGTATTAGAAAATTTTTATAATGACGTAGATTCATTTTTCTTTAATTAACAAATGCGCAATAGATTTATATTGTTAAATTAAATCTAAAATTAGCATAAACAATGTTTTACGGAATATAGTTTTAAATATTTAAATTTGTTTTTTTTTTAAACTATAATGCGTTCATTAATTTCATAGCTAATGATTTTGTTTTTTCTTTATTCGTCAATTACAGATTTCCTAACTTAACTACATAGAATGAATATAAGACAGGGGTGTGAAAATTGTTTAAATAATTCTTTATACACTGTTAAGTATGTTTATTATTATTGTATTTGTAAACATAACAACATGTATAGTTTGTGTTATGACAAATTTAAATAAGTACTTTAAAACTAACAAAGCTATTATTGATCAATAACAGTAATTGCGTGAAATGAAATAATTTATCCATACAAATATGAGATTAAAGTGAATTAATATGAAGAGAACTAATTCATTTCATGGTCATGTTATTGATGTGGATTACCAAAAAAATTCAATTACATTAGATTAATAATTGTAGTGTAATATGTGTTGAATGTGCTGTTAGCATTTAATTAATTCACATGAATTTTAGTTTCAAATAAAATTAGAAACTGACATATATTTTGTAGTAATCGTAATAATAATAATATAAGTATAAGTATTTTATTAGATAAACCAAATGACCATCAACTGAAGTGCTTCATCCAGTATTACAATACTGTAAATAAGAGAGTACAATAAAGATACTTAAAAAAATACATATGTTGTTATTAACAAAAGAAACATAGTGTAACTGTCTAAATGTTAACAATTTTTGGTCACTTAGTTCATTCATTATTCCCCAAATGTTGGACCACTAGTAGGTATATATACACTACAAGAAGTAGATAATTTTATAGATATATGTAACTGTTTTCATGGAAATTCCTTCATTTTTATAAGTTAGACTATGAAAATGTTTTTCCCCGGCAGTGCTTGTTCTTTTTAATTAAATTTGCGTGCTTGTTGAAGTTGAGTTTTTGGTCAAAAATACCTAACTGAGTGGTTATCGAGTAGGACAGTTTGGACTGATATTGTCATGAAAAATGAAGTGCGATTTGGTTGGATTGATTTTAATATACCATTTTTTGCACCAGTTTTGTATCAAGTTGAGGGGCAGCTGAAGCTTTTGCGTAGTTAGATTTAGGGTAAAATTATGACTTATCAAAGTGATATCAGCCTATTCAAGAGTGTATAGATTAGCATTCAGTTGAATGTTGTTTAATTCGGACATATGTCGTAACAGTAAATATTATTTAAAAATGGGCAAAGTAGATAGCCTTGTGGTAGATCCTGCTGTGGAGAGAATTTTCGAGAGGATTTTTGATTAATTTTAATTTGAAATTTCTTTATGTCAGTATTCTTTGAGTAAATCAACTTAGGACATGTAAAACGGATAAGCTTATAATGTAGACCTGCCTGCCAGACTGTATCAAAACTTTATATCTAGAAATGCAGCAGCACTGTGAAGTTTAATTATTCTAGAAGTTATTGTTATTGTATGTAGATAAATAGTTGATATTCTTGTTCACTGAAACCAAACTCATAATTAGTCGATTGTCGAATGGCATCTTGTAAACATTTAAGAATAATTTTTAGAATTTACTGATGTAATTATATGATTTTGTAACATAATATTTTGTTTCAGGAATTAAATGTCCAGTATGCAGTAAATTTGTAATTCCTGATGACATAGAATGTCACTTGGTAATGTGCCTCACGAAACCTCGGCTTTCCTACAACGGTGAGTATATCGATGTAGTAAGAAAAGTGAGTACCTACTTACATTCAAATTAGTATTACAGAAACACTTTTGGATGAATCAAACCATAGGTAGTACATAAAAAAATGTTAGTTTTTCTTAATGAACGTCAATTTCTTCATGCACTATTTTTCCTTGTAATTTTCTAATGTCTGATTAAAATCAAACTTAATATGATGTTGTTACATAAGCAACTGCATAATTTGGTGTTGTTTCAGTAAATTTTTATATGTCCCATATAGGTATGGAGAAGTAACTTATTTATGCACTGGTACTGGTAAAATGATATTAGAAAAATCATAGTTTTGAAAACTAACCAATAAAGCTCTATATACGGAAAAGGGTTCGAGATTGGACTGTGGTTTAATGGAAAAATTTGAGTATTTTTTAAAGTATTCCCTGCAGTTAGAGTTTGATTTATTCAAAACAGAACATATTTATCTTTTTTAGTTTCGTAGTTAGAAAAAAATAATGTTATGGACCAAAGTGATAGGAAAATTTGATGTGATTTTAGAACTATACTTGGAAAAACAATTGAATCTTACAAGCAACACTTTTTTTGAGAGAATATCATGCACAATATATTTTAACATATTCGAATAGAATGTTTCCTTATCATTATAACGGAAGTCACCAATATTAATGATTCGTTTACAATGAACAATGACAAGATATTACATCTATGCTCTAGGTCTAGAATTAATGCCATCTTTGGTTAGTTGAATAAAATATTTCGAAAAATTACACCAATCACCATTGTTATAATTTTACCGAAATTTAATTGCTAACTTGAAGGAACCAAAATTACTTTTCCAAATAAAATTACTGGTTTGTAATCATTTATGGTTTTGTATAAATATTTTAATATGAATAGGCAACATTAATTTTTTGATGTGACAAAGGTGTTAATTCTTCGAAACTGTGAAAATTATTACTTAAATGGCAGTTTATGAATGAATTATGATTATGAATTCAAATTCTTTGTTCAAATACAAGAGACAAGCTTTCAGCTAAATATAATTTTTCTTTGATAGCCATGTTTTCAAGATTTTAAGACTGGCATATCTTAAACATATTATTAGTCCAGTTGGGTAATTTATTATTGATCTGAATTGATTATAGACTACCTAACTGGACTGATATATTTGGGCGCATTATGCAGACAATATAAAGATTTACATTCTTCTGGATACACGAGTGTTGCAGATTTTAATCTAGAAATTGCATCTATCCCATTGATGTAAGAAGAGGGAGATAAGACATGTACTACTGCATCTCGTAATAATTTCCCACTCCCCTCACCCACCACCACACTATATTTTGTTGGATCTTGGATCGCTTTGCCGCCCAAGTTATGCTACAAGTTTGCTTTAAAATAATAATTCCCTTTGTTCTGCCTATATCTTCCAATCTCTGGTCTGTGTGTACGTTCTATCAGAAACAGTATCCCTATGATAGTGACAGACTACAGTCAGTTAGTTTATTGATTTATCAAACATATCGGGAATTTTTAGCTAGACATCATTTATATAATTTTAAGGTACATTTTTCCATATACGTATAAAACTTCAATTTAAAATTGTTCTCTTGGAGATATAACATTCTACATGTTGTGTTTGTTTATTGGTAAATAGGGATACTTTTTCAAATAATATTATAAATTCATATTTTAATTTGTGAAGGAAGTTTTTGCCTAGTTCTGCATCTTCGATTTTAAGTTCCACAATAAATTGATTATATATAATTTATCCGTACATTATATTTGTAGAGTATGTAAGTCATGAATTCTTGTCTTAATTTTCATAGGTCTTCCTCAGCATCAATCATTTCCTGGTATATTTCTCAATCTCATCCCATACCTGTGGAATTGTAATAGGTGTTCCATCGGTACTTTCAATCACTTAACCCGATCCGTCCTGTTCTTCAACTATTTATAAATTTTAGAACATCAGTACCTAATCATCAAATTGAAATAAAATCATTATAGTTATTATTTTATATTCTCAAAGTATTATATTTAGTATCTTTATCCTTCATACTTACTAGTAATTTATTCAATTCTATTTTCTTTTACAGAAGACGTATTGACTGATGATAAAGGGGAAGAATGTGTAATATGCTTAGAAGAATTAAGTCAGGGGGATGTCATAGCTCGCCTTCCTTGCCTCTGTATATACCACAAGACGTAAGTTTTTCTATTTTTGAAACATCTATAGTTACCTATATGTTTTATAATAACTGAAATTCTTTTGATCACCTTATTGAAATTCTTTTCCTTTTTTGACATCTTATATTTGTTTTTAATTTACTTGGATATTTTGCCAATCGAAAAGAAAAAGTTAAAAAATAAACTAAAAGGAACTGCTTCAAAACGGCATGTCAACAAGCTTAACATGAAATTTCACATTGAGAAAGTAGATTTTTAATTCATTTATAACATTCTGTTACTCTCCCTTTTCTCTCCTCACAGCCGGCCTATTCTTTGAAAATACTTTTGAATTTTTTACTTTTCATTTTACAAATGTAGAAAAGCATAGAATAATTCTGTTTTATAAAAAAATGTACTTTACATAAATGTTATGCGTTTTAAGAAGCTTCAGCTATTCATTTTCACTGCAGATTACCAACTGTTTTTTAAATATTAATTTTGAAAACAGAAAATAGCCAGAAAAGTGAAAAGTTGGAAAATACTTATAAAAAACAGGCCCCAGGTGTTTTGACCCTTGATTCCGAATCTAGAATCAAAATTTAACCCCATAACCTGTTATTTGAGTGATTTTGATTGTAGTCTTAGAATTTCTGTTATCCTCTCTTGTAAAATTTTTGTATATGTAAGTAATTGATTTGGCTTATTTAAATTTTTTTTATTAGATGCATTTTCAATTCAAACTTGAAATAATTACATAGTATTAGTGTATCAAATTTAAATAAAATCTTACAGGGCGTTTCACAAGGAGAAGGTAAGGTAGTCGGATTTTTGTAATTTTTGATATTTATGGTACGTGTAGTTTGGACCTTGAATAAGGATTTTTTGAAGTAGTTCGACGCAACGTTCATAAATTACCGAGATAATCGATTTTGAAGTTTTACCTGACAGCTAAATCCACTAGATGTGACACATTCTCCAACTGGGAGCGTGGTCTAATTGGTAGCGATCGGGACTGACAGTCACGAGATCGCTGGTTCGAGTCCATCGCGTGACATATTTTTTTTTCTCAAAAGCACCATAGGTTTTTTATTATTTTTTTCATCTCGAAAATTATGAACAAACGAAATATTATAATAAATACTTATGTATATGTAGGAATATTCTTCAAATATTTCATTAAAATGCACGATTGGTTGATAAACAATATTTATTATGAATTAACAATAAAGTTTCTTAAAAAAAACAAACGAGGTCAGTAGGTTTTTTATTTTATTTTTAGTATTTGATATTTTACGCAGTGTGGCATAAGTCAGAATGATAGTTATCATAGAAACATGGGAAGCGGAAATTTTTTAAGCATCTAGTATGTCGTGTAAATGTTATGTTTTTACAGGCGCATTTTGTTTTCAAAATATCGACGTCGAAGTAAATTTCGTTAACATTTTGAAAGATTGTTCTTTCATCACACAGTTTCGATGCTTCTCTATCCTTTGTGGAATTTACCGAAACTTTTTACGCCCGAGTAGGTGTGTTTTGTAAGCGGTTTTTTTAAACATAGTGGACGACCCACACAACCTAGCTCAAAATGTTAATTAAACACTTGAAGAATAATCCTACATACAGTTCTCATAATATTTCGTTTGTTCATAATTTTCGAGACCAGAAAAATAAAAAGAAAGGAAGCTAGATGATTTCTGCATCCCATTTTTTCATGATAGCTATCATAAATATAAAATAAAAGAATATCCTACCTGACCTCGTTTGTTTTTTTTTTTAATGAAATCTTATTGTTAATTCATAATAAATATTGTTTATCAACCAATTGTGCATTTTAATGAAATATTTGAAGAATATTCCTACATATACATAAGTATTTATTATAATATTTCGTTTGTTCATAATTTTCGAGATGAAAAAAATAATAAAAACCATATGGTGCGTTTTGAAAAAAAATGTCACGTGACGGACTCGAACCAGTGATCTCATGACAGTCAGTCCCTAACGCTACCAATTGGACTAAGCTTCCAGTTGAAGAATGTGTCACATTTAGTGGATTTAGCTGTCAGGTAAAATTTCAAAATCGATTATCTCGGTAATTTATGAACGTTGCGTCGAACTACTTCTGAAAATTCTTATTCAAGGTCCAAACTACACGTACCCTAAATATCAAAAATTACAAAAATCCGACTACCTTACCTTCTCCTTGTCAGTTAAAAAAGCATATTTTTTTGTTAATTTTGATGCCCTCTGATGAAGCAACTTAGAATAGGAGTAAGTCGCAGGAAACTGATAGTTCCATATACTCCGAATATTGGAACACCCTGTATATGCTTCCAGTTATTTGATATTATTTATTTAAATAATATATCATACTATAATGTTACAACCTTATAGCCTAATAATGTGTCTTATTTTCATGAAATGGGTAGCTTATGTGCACAAAAAACTCAATAAATTTACAGCTTGGTGTTTCTTTGAGATCAAATGCTGTGTTCTATTAAAATTTCCAGTATGAGATCTCTGGCTAGCCAGTAGAGGTTTTTCACTAACAGTTTTATATACTTAATTACAATTTTTTTATGTAAGCTTTAATTCAGTATTGTATTTTTCAGATGTATAGATCAATGGTTTGAAGTAAATCGATCTTGTCCAGAGCATCCTGGTGATTAGCATAATTCCTAGGAGTATTGTGTATATATGTAAATATTTTATTGAAACGAACTCTAAAACAATTTTAATACTGGAGTTGTGTATATTCTAGGGATTTAAAGTGAAATAGTTACCTAATATTAATACCGTTTATAAGAAGTTTTACATACACTAGTTTTTATTTGATTTTCTGCAAGATTTTAAAGAAATACATACATAACGCATAAGTATTTATAAAGATCAGCGCTGTAACTAAGTTGACATATCAATTTGGTTAGAGTTCAACATAATTAGCTTTTCTAGAAGTTTGTACAAGATAACTTATTTGATACTGAGAACCGTTGAATGGATATTCCCTTAAAATGCTTTCGTTATTCCAAATTTTATTTTCATAGCTGAAATTTCGTTTCATTCTAGGTTTTGATCTGAATATATTTTATAATGGAAAGAAATCGTTTTTAAAAATATATATTTTTGATACTTTCATACGGCAACTACAATTCCTGATTTGTTGTTGAATCATTTTCTGTCTGACGGGAAATTGTGTTAAAACTGATATTGTTAAAACCAAGTCGACGTTAAAGGTCTTCGTATTGGTGCGGGGCAGGGAAAATGGAGTTCTTACTGCCGTACGGGGCAATCGATACTAAATACTTCGTGTTTTATATGTGGTTTAATTCAAAGTCATTTGATATACAAAAACTAGTTTTTAGGCAGCATTTTCTTAGAAGTAGCAATATTTTTTAACATCACATGTGTATTTATTTACGTTTTTCTATTCGGTTGTGTTTATTATTTAGTTGTTTACGCAGATATAACGAACGACTTTGATTTAAAATAGAATACATCTGTCGGTTTAAAATGTAACTGCTATTAAATCGGGGTGGAGTTAACTCGATATAGCTAACATATGCCTAATTAATGATTGCTTTAAAGCATCAGATTACTTTCAGACACAAAATGTAAACATACATACTAATTTGTCCGTTTATATAGGGGTGTTGAATAAGTTCTCGCTGTTTTCTCGTGAAAATGCATAAAAAGATAATTAGTAAAAAACATGTCACTGAAAAGTATTGTTCATCGATAGCCACTACTTTTTCCCATTTTTCTGGCAGCATTTTAATTCCATGTCCGAAAAACGACACGTCTTTTGAGGCTATCCAATAGTCGACCAATTTTTTGGCATCTTCATAAAACTGCTACTTAGCTAGGCCATGTGCGATTGATCAGAACAAGTGATAATCGGAAAGGGCAATATCCGATGTAGGTTTTCACTGGTTCATGTGGCCAAGCCTTGTCCAAGCATAATCACTTTGTCGAGCCTCTGCTCGTATAGTGGCCATTTTTCTTTCAATGCTCGTCTCAAACGCATCAATTGTAATAAACTATACTCAGCAGATCTCGTCAAATGTAGAGCAGAAACGTGAGATCATCGATATTCGGTTTCGCCGATGATGTGGACGGATGGCCGGGCTAGCCCCACAATTTTCCATGCTTAAGATTATCATATCTGTTTTTCATCGCCAGTTATGATATGACGCAAAAAACCTTTGAATCATTCTTAACGCTTTCAAACGTTTTGAAACTGTTGTGTAATCACCTCCGAATGTTTCTGTAAGTTCAGCTAATGTCTGATATAAGTCTTCTTGAAGTAATGCCGCCAATTCTTCAAACTGTTTTGGTGCGCCAGAGAGATGGCCACTTTTTGGAAAAGTGTGGTACGGACATGTACGTTGGACATGTCGACGAAATGTCCGGACATGTCGGGAAAAGTACTTTTGACCTTGAATCTAATAAGGCACCTACGAGTGACGTCATGTTTTCACAGGTCACTGTTTGAGGGTACACTGTGTCTTATTAAATGTTATTTATTATATTTTTGATTAATTTTTCATTACAATATAAAACATAAAATTATGTAAAATTATTTGTCCACCCTACTGGAAATCTTAAAAATTGTTTACGAGCAGAAGTTACATTTATAATGATTTTTACTCAATTCAGAAAAATATAACCAAACTGTTGATTTTGGCGTCATACTTCATTTATAAACTATTTGTGTATTAAATATTAAATTAAGAATCAACTGATTATTATTTACTAATGGTTAACTTTGCCCAAAATAATAAAATATGGACAAATAAAAGACGTTATATTTTTAAAATGTCAGTTTCAGTTAAAGTTACCAACAAAGTTACCAAAAAATGGCTAAATATCTTTAATTTTACATGTACCAACTTCAAAAATTTTTTTAAGGGTATTATGAATGCAACAAATAATTACGCGCATGCGCATACAACTTTTCAATCTTGAAAAGTGTCCTCAGGACATGTCCACTTTTCACGACATCTCCGACATGTCCAGCTGACAAGTCCGTGCCACATCTAATTATTTTTAACATCGAAATCATTATTTTTTATTCTCTGCAAGTTTGCGACAGAGCATGGTTGCCGTAAGTCTCAACAAGAATTCTGCCTGCTTCTACTGAAGATTTCTTTTGAATAAAGAGTAGTGCAACAAAATTCCCTCTAAATTCTCTTTTTTTGCCACGAAATTCGACATGCCCAACACTATGAAAAAATGAGAAAAAAGAAAGTAGTTTTACTAGAACGCTAGCAGTTCTAGTAATGCCATCTGTTTGGAAAACAGCGAAACTTTACTCAACGTCCCGATATTTTGATACCCCTCCACTCGCAAGAGTTATATTTTTCATTTTTTATAACATAAAAATAAAATAATAACTATTACAGTTAATAAGAATTTACATTTAATAAAGCACATTGAGAAATAAAACATCGAACAAAGTCTATAATTAATGTCTTACACGTTTGCTACACCCGATTTATGTTTATTTTTTTGTAAATGTTATATTTTTCACTTCACCAGAATACCACTGATATTACAATATTTATTTTTATGTTTTTATAATTCTTCCTTTCTGCCTTGAACTTACACCACAGCAGACTGTATATAGGACACTTGCCGGATTTGTGAGACAAAACGATTGAATGCACACAATTTTAGGGACCAAATTTAATTAACTGCAGTAGAGCATTATTCTGTTTTTATGTTATACGAGGCAAATTATCTATGATTTAAAAAGACAAAATGTGTCGTACTGTTGAAAATTAAAACAACATTCGTATAATTCGCTAAGACCAAGTGTGTAAAAAAAGATAAAATCAACCAAAGACATTTTGTTGAAGTTTAAAGTGATTATATATAAGGTGCTAATTGTGAACTATTTTTAAATTTAAGTTCTATGTTACCTATATTTTATTGAATAACTATTGACTTTAAAATATTTTAGTGAATTCAGTTACGTTTTATATTTGTTGCAACGGAAAACTTCTGAATAGAAGTGCCATATTTTGAGTATAACTTAAATATCTAAGGTGTAGCCTGGTAGTTAAATAAAATAAACTTTCCATATTCGTTTTATTTCATTTCCTAACCAAATAACAGCAATAAAAAAATACTGTAATTTCAGCATATATAAAAATATTTTAAATTTATTCTTCAAAATTGAGAATAATAGAAAGGTCTTCAAAACTGAGAATAGAAAGGTGACCCAAAACCAACGGCTGGCTGCAATTGCAGGAAAAGGAAAAGAGCAAATATGAAACGGTAAGTAGGCACCTGTACGGCATGATTTTATAAGTATCCAGTGTTGTAAACTATACGATAATTATCGTTTTTGTACTAACATTTTGTCCACTGTATGGTATAGTCTTTCCGAAGTCAGTTGAACGTGTATCAAAACGCCTAGCAATAAAATTTAACAAGTTTCATAGGTGTCGCTAAAAAAAAGTTTTCTGCTAAAGGTAAAAAATTATAATTTGTACATAATGTGTAGAAAATTTCTATTATATGTTCATTTGGCCAACAACATATTTTAATTATTTATGTCCTCAAACATTATTATATTGATGGTAAATTTTGGTTATGGCATATCAAAAAACATTTACATTTCCATTAAAATATATTACTGCTGGGCAAGAAACAACGGGAAGATATGAACATATCCTTGCCAGGGAAGGTTGTTAGTTTAGGTTAGAAAAGTTATTAAATAAAAATAATCAACAATAAAATAATTCCCCATTGCTGAACTGCACTGCAAGACAACTTGTTAATAACTGAAATTTATGGCCGGTCGCCCAGTGCGGCTGTGTTTGTGCGCCGTTTGCTCGCACGCGCATTCAACTGGGTGAATACATTTCTACCACCATGTTTAGTTCAACCAGACTTGTATGTGGGTATGGCTAAATAAATATGGGAACAAGTGTTCAAATATTTCAATCCGAATTACTGCCTAGCAACCGAACCTTATCCTAGCTCTTTGGTCTTCAATTGAGATCGGGAAGATTATACATACCAATTTGTACGATAATTTAAAACAGCCTGCAACGCACCAGTTGACAAAATAGTTCTAATTTATTACTATTAGGCTATTACAAAATCATGACACATTGCCAGAATATATCACCGCAGAATTAGATGTGTTTTATCATGAAATTACCGGTTTTCTAAAGTAAGTTTGATAAAGACTAAAACTAGAAATTGTTTGATGATATACAATAAATCGATTTTTACTGTCTTCGCAAATTATAAATTTAGTTGAAAGCAGTTCACAACACAGTAATTATTTAACTTAAAATTCCGTCTTGGTAGGTTTACCACCATAGGAGCTATGATTTTTCTCAATTTCAAAAATACTTTTTTTACATACGAGTGTTTTCTGAACAACCTTACCACTAAAAAAGTTTAATGGTATCTTTTACCTTTCAGAAGATAAGTATAGAAAAAATACAGATTCGATCAAGTCTGTTACTTACTTTGTCAGGTTACCATTGAATTGAAGACACTTTCAATGTTTATATTCATGACACTCTTATATCACTGTAGTTATCAGAATGCGTTCTGGTATTTTTAAAGTACAATGGTTTTTTGAGTTATATCTGATTGCCGCCTGTTAAAGACATACATTGCATCTTTGAACTGTCGTTGTTCTCGGGCTAAGCTCTGTGAGGGCGAATCCGCTATCAGAACCCCTAGACCCGCCCTGATCATTTTGGTTCTTAGTCAGTTCTCAAAACTGTTACAGACAGAACTGCACCTTGGACAATGATGTTCCTTCAAGTCGTTCTGTAGTGGCTTTTGTAATCGGTCGTATCCAATGCCTCCAGGTGTTTGGCCATTATTCACTGTGAGCATTGCTAGTTGTGACTGCAAAAGCTTAGCTATGAAAACTCAGTCTGAAAGGTTGTAACTGGTGGCAACCATGTATACAGGGGGTGCCATTTAACACTCCTGCTGCCAATATCTCCGAAATGAAGAAATTTATTTTAGTTCCGGAAACTGGGGTTGTTAGATCCCTGTTATAGCTTCAAATTGCAGTTAGAACTGTTATTTCAAATCTTTCTGTATAGAAGGCGTGGCGATACCCCAGTTTCCGGAACTAAAATAAATTCTTCATTTCGGAGATATTGGCAGTGGGAGTGTTAAATGGCACACCCTGTATAGGCCATAGCACAATAAACAAAAAAAACATACTTTAAATACCAGCATGGGTTCTGAACGCATTAAATCCACAGTTCCTTAGTTTGCTGTCTTTTTCTGTCACAATATTGCATTTATGAAGATGACTGTCGGCTACTTTAAAGTGACCACTACCACGACATTTTAATTTCTTGTTTCCAACCAAAAATTAATATGTTATGATGACAGTAACCCAAGTCATCTTCATAAGTGAATTATTTGGATAAAGTAACAAAATATTTGCATCAAAACGTTACCTTAGAAAAAATTAATAAATAAATCATTGATAAATCGTTTTATTGTTTAAAGTTACGAGGAGAAATATTTTGAAAGCTGTTTTCTTAATAATTCAATTAATTTGATCCTAAAGATTTCAAATTCCACAACCTCTTTGTAATTTAATCTCCTGTGATGGTTTTCAAAATCCTCTACGACATTAATTTCTTTCTCCATCCTGTATAATTATGTGAAATAAAAGACATCGTTTACTGTTTTTCATAATATTATATATTTGGTATCAAAATAAACATAAAAAATTGAGAAAATGCACTAGACCAGTCAATATTAAATAAAATACTGACAAAAATTTAAGATAAATACTTGAAAAGTTATGCACCACTATAAATAAATTATAACTTATTTATATGCGTAGGTATAATGTGTGAAATAATATACATTTCTTCTGATACAAGTACTTAAAACAGGATTCATAAGTCGGCAAGTTTTTGTGTTAAACTTGATAGGTAACATAATATCGAACAAAATAGAGTCGATAGCACTAAAACAGATATTGATATTTGAAATTTGCAGATCAATTACATCAAATTAAACATGTTTCATCAAATATTTGTGTGTGAAAAAGAAATTTAGGACTTCAATTGTCTTTAAAACATTTTTTAATAAGAGAAAATACACACGTAAGAGTAGAACCGACTAGATTTTGTTCTACATTATGTTTCGTCTAAGACTGACTATTGGTTTACATTGCAATTATTATGTACGCGTATATAAGGAAATTCAAGATTTCTTATTTTCACATGATCTGGTACAGAATAAAATTATCTTAGATTAATTATACATAATAGAGTGTAGGATTTTTGCGGCACCACCAAGGTATAGAAGAAGGGTATCATTAAAACACCAAAAAAAAAAGGTTGCTAAGCGAAAATTGAAACGAAGACTACACCTATGCTCAAAAATCCTACACTCTATTGTAATCTTCAAAATGTAGAATATATTTTAACAAGACGGCTTTCCAAATTTTAAACATATTTAAAATAAGGAAGTTTGAATAAAAAGGAAAAAATTCCAAATAAATATAGACATTTCTAAATTTCACCTTTTCTCGTGTTATATCAGAGATTCTTTGCACTTATTTATTAACTA